GAATGGTACTGGATTCAGAGACATATTAACTAAATCAGAAAATTGCAACACATAGTAAAAGATTGACATCTAGAAAGTAATTTATTAAATGGGGCATGTTAGCCACTACTGAGACACTATAATACTTGTCATTGTAAATTGCTCAGAAATCTTTGAGCTGAACCAACAAGTTTTGAATTCGTCCTAAGCAATTCTGTTAAGAAGATATCAAGTAAATTATTGTTGGAATCAACTGATACAATTTAGCTAAAATATAGAATCAGTTCCTCTTTTATCTTTTCTAGAGAATCATGTAAAGCCAAGAATGTTTAAACATAGTGGCACTAAGCAGTTCAATTTTTAAAACATTTACCTTATCTTCATTTTTACCTCCCATAAATTCCCCAACTTTATTCTTCCTTGAGGTCACAATTTACCAATTCTACCTTAACCAGTGTTCCCCAAGTCACAATTTTTTTGATCCAAAATAATAAATGCGTTTTAGTTTTTTATCTTGACCTTTTAAGTTATATTGTAACATTTAGAAGGACTTAATGGTCACCATACTTATAAATTAAATTTATTGGATTAACAAGATATATACTAATACTTGGGAGGGTTTTTATTAGTTTATTAGATTATTATTATACTTAAACTTTTAAATTCAATCCATATTTAAGAGAGTTTATCTAGATTTGTGACTGGGACTGAGTATTAATTAAAAACTCCCTTAAAATTGTTTGTAAAAAGTGTATTGTTGAAAATTAAATAATTGTAAATTGAATAATGAGATTTACAAATCGAATTGTAGAGATTAAGGAAATTCCAACTGGAAACAAATATAGTGGAAAAAAGGAAGAGCACCTGAAATTACAAATATCTGGGTAAATATAAAGATTTTGAGGTGTACACTACATGTGAAACATATTTTGAAGGCTCAGTATAAAAAAGTAAAATCTTATTAATAATGCCTATATCACATGTAAAATATCTTGGATATACTGGGTTAGAAAAATATTTTATTGATATTAACTTTATTCTTGTTTTGCTTTTATGTGGCAACAAGACAACTCAAAATTATGTGATGGCATATTTCAATTGCACAGTACCTATACTACATGAGGGGCCCCTTTTGCAGCACCTGTATTGTGTCTTTAGAAACATTTATTATATCTTTTAAATTATTATATTACCTCCTGTACTAGGCTGTAATCATTTAATGAACAAGGGCTATCTTGATCAATGTGGTAATTACTGATTTCAAGGATGGTAAAATAAAAATAATCAATCCTTATTACTCACAAATTTCATTTATGAATTTACCTACTCACCAAAAATAATTATAAAATCAGTATTTATGGTGCTTTCACAGTCACTTGTGGACATGCAGAGAATAGTGAAAGATTTGAGTCTCATCCAATACAAGTTTTCCTAGCTGAGGTCAAATAAAATAATGCTCTGCCTCCTTGTTTCAGCTGTTAAACTGTCATCAAGTGACACATTTTTACATTTTTGAGACTTTTGTTGGTGAATTAGCTGCTTAAACTGACTCCCAGTAATGCTGAAGTGCTAGCTCATATTTCTAAAGACCATAAGGATGTGAAACGTCTTACAGAGAAAAAACACGTGTTAGGTAAGCTTCCTTTGGGCATGAATTACAATGCTGTTGGGTGTGACTTAAATGTTAATGAGCTAGTATATATTAAGTAAGATGTCTTTCAATGGAAACATTCATAAGACAAGATCATATAGAAGTCAATTGACTAAAATCACTTTATGTTTTATATGCATGAAGCTCTATCACCTGATTCCAAATTTATGCAAATACAGTCTATAAAGGTAGATAAAGCAGTGACTGTGAAGTCAGACTGTGGAGAGTTCAATATTGGTTCTCTAACATGCTAATTGTATGATTTGGGGTAAATCATTTAACATATCTCTGCCTTTTTCCAAAAATAAAAATGTAAACAAAGAGCGGTGTTTAATGGTACCCAGAAGTTGGATGTGAAGAGAGGAAACTTCTGGAATAAGGAATATATTCTGTATCTTGATAGCAGTTACATAACTGCTTATGTTTCTCAAAACTTGTACAACTAAAAGGATAAATTATAACAATACTCACGGTTTAAAAAATAAATCAAATAATGCACATAAATAGGTAAATCATTACCTTCTCACATAAACATTCTTTAAATATTATCAATCATTCTAATAACATCAGACAGCAGAGTGGATTCATGGGCAAGGGTTCTAATCTTCGTAAATTAATCAGATGCTAAGCTCAGTTTGGAGCAGTTCACTTGATTATCATGACGGTTGTAGAACAACATGTGAGAAATAGGACTTTTCATGAGACCGCAATCCAAAAATCACAGGATCACATAAATTGGGGTGGAGAAGGGGAAGTGCTCTGCTAGCTCACATCTCCAAAGTAGAAGAAAGTAGTGGGCTGTGAAATAGAACTATGAAATGGTGAGTGAATCCCTTAAGAATCCTTAATCCTATTAAAGTCTCTATTGGCTACAGACCTATGTTGAAGACAAACCCATTGCTCTAATGAGGTACTGAAAGACTTCAAAACTCAAATGAATGCCAATGCCATGAAGAAAGAAGGGCTGAGTTTGGCAGGACACTTTTCTGATCAGGAGATTCAGTAAGAATTAGACATCCTTCCCCCCACAATAGGCTGGGGGCCTGAAGAGTGGACTACGCCATTTCACTGCTGCTTTTGAGTTAGCTGTTCCTCCCTCCTACAAAGCATACACTGGCAGTTGCTGCCACTCTCACCATGTGGTGGCTGGGGTCCCTCCGCCCTCCACCACCCCACCACAACAACCTCAGTGTGGAGTCAGTAAATGACTGCCATTGAGTTGCAGTACAAGAAACAAGTCAGGTTTGACCCCTAAAAAGGTCTGCAAGCTGGTCAGAAATTCAAATTCAAAGTTCCCCCCACAGCCCAAAGAACACTTGTCACGAAGTCTAACCAACAGTCACGTGACAACCTACAGGCACCTAAGGAAAGGGGCCACCGAGGGCATGTCTTGCTTCCCTGTGACGTGCACTGGCACTTGAACACAACCAAGGTAAAAGTTTTGGGGTGCAAATTTCCTTGCCAGCAACTTTACCTTCAGCAACCGTACTCCAGAAAGTGCTCTTCATGCCGGAAGTTCCCTAATCCGCAGCACGTGGGGTTGCCAGGGCGCTCTTCACGTGACTGGGCGGGGCCTCGGGAACCTTGTAGCCAATGGTAGCCTGAGAGGGCGGTGCCTGTGACGCTCCGGGACCTATCCCGGAAGTAGGGCCGGGGTGGGGGCGGGAAAGGGCGGGGAGACCGGGGTGTGGAAAGTGTGGCGGCCCCGCCCCATCTCTTAGAAACGCCGCGGCCGCCACCGCTGCCGCCGCCGCAGCAGTAGAGGACCCGCGCTGGTTCGCAGGCGAGAGGCAGTTCTCCCCCTCTGAAAGGTGAAGACGTGGGGTAAAGCTTGTGGGACTGGACCCGAGCGAAGCAGGGCGGGGAAGGCTGCAGGACTCCAGTCCGAGGGACGGAGAAAGGATGGATGGGTAACGGAGGCGAGAGCGGGACCCGCTAGGACTCAGGCCCGTGCGGGGCCAGGCCGGGCGCGGGATGCGGACAGGACCCGGGGCGCCTGTGAAGCCGGGCCGACGACATCTGGGGCGGGGGAGCGGAGTGCGCGCACCCTGCCCGAAGGCCAGGTAGCTGGCCAGCGTCCGTGATTCCCCAGCCTCCGCGGGAACCTGCGGCCTGGCAGGGCCCCCCAACAGAGAGGATCTGGGCAGCCCTGAAAGGCCGAGAGGCGCGGCGCGGCGCGGGAAGGTGGAGGCTTTCTTGCGGTGAGAGGATGGGCGCCGGGACCCGCCGCTCGCGGTGCGGGTGAGCGCCCTGGTCGGGTATCCCTTTACCCCCAGCGAGTTCCTTTGCGCTCTGCTTCCCCTCCTTCGTTCCCCTCCCACCCTCCGCCCCCACCACCATCACCACCACCAATGGATGGAAAAGTTTGTAGAGGCCAGAGTAAGAAAGTGCCGAACTAGCCCTAGGTGGGTGCTTAATAAATGCCAAAATAATCGATCCATGATGCTTGGCACGTAACGGGTCTGAAACGAGACGTTTCCCTAAGTGCATACCCGTTGTCAACAAAACAAAAATCACAAACTTTTTTCATAGTTCCCACGGAAAAGCTACCATCTCCCAGCCCACCATGGCAGATGAAATTGATTTCACTACTGGGGATGCTGGGGCTTCCAGCACGTATCCTATGCAGTGCTCGGCCCTGCGCAAAAACGGCTTCGTGGTGCTCAAAGGACGACCATGCAAAATAGTGGAGATGTCAACTTCCAAAACTGGAAAGCACGGGCATGCCAAGGTATGTGTCCTTTCTATCCTATCTTTGCCTTCGGATTTTATCTTTTACATTCCATTACAGAGCATGAGCTTTCTGTTCATAGAGTTTTGTAATGAATGGGTAGTTTTTTTCTTCCCGCAATTACTGTGCGATTAAATATTCCTTAGGATCTCTTAAGGTTTTTCTTGGGCCCAGTTTCACTAACTGGGAATTGAAACTTTGCTGAATTTGACATCAAACTGATCTACTCAGTTTGCAGTGAGAAAGCCTGTTCTAAGGAACCTAATTTCATTTTTCTTATGCACTCGTAATTGAATACTGACATGATAGAGTTTAGTTGTTCACTGCTTCCCAATTTTGTGATCACTACATTTTTTAAAGAATAAAATTAGACGACCTTGGAAGGAGAGTCTGTCATGATCAGTGTTGGTATTGTGTATGTAATGAGTGATATACTTGGCAAAGATTAGACAGGTTTCCTGTTCTCCTCTATTAGGTTCACCTTGTTGGAATTGATATTTTCACGGGCAAAAAATATGAAGATATTTGTCCTTCTACTCACAACATGGATGTTCCAAATATTAAAAGGAATGATTATCAAGTAAGTAAAAATTTCTCTTAGAATGTTACTGTTATTTAAAAATTGCAACTCCTACTTACTGTCATTTATAATCTAACAAAACCAAGTAGTGTCATAAGTTTTTCTAACCAGTTAATTAGGTACCATTTATCTTAGTCATTGGAGAAAAGTAATTTTTCACACTTGTACATTATTTAGGATTATTGATAGATTGTTTTTAGCATTCTTGCATTTTAAAAGTTAAATTTTTGTTGTCTCTCAGACCAAGTATTTCATAATACATATTGTGACCGAATGTCTAATATTTAGTAAAATTACTAATCTTGCTGTAAACTAATTCAAATTTAGATGATCCCTCCCATATATTTTACTTTTCGCTTATCAGATCTAAGACTTTCAAGACATTAGTGGAATTCTTGGTCTCTACCCACCAAGTTTGTGTATTGAATATAGGCCATAAATTGGTATTCTTTAGTAGAGAAATAAGTTGAAGTCATAAAGGAAAACCTACATGTTTACTGAATATGGTGAAGAAGATAAAAAACTATGTAATTATTTTATATATTCATTGACCATGCTGTGACCTTTTGTTAAATTGCAAGTTTTATTTTGTAAATTTCAAGTTTTAGTTCAAGTTGCATATTAGAATTGGTCATGTTTAATAATATCATTCTGTTGTTTTCAGTATTGCTGATAACCACTGGCCTCATAGGATATGAGAACTCATGTTAATCATAACTAAAGCCGTTCTTGAAAGTCTTCATTTTCTAAATTAAGCATATCATATATGGAACTTTTTTGTGTTTATTTTACACAGTAAAAATAAAAATGTGACAGATTTGTTTTATCCAGTTTAATCTGTTTTTCTATACTTGTTTTACTGCATAATTTTTTAAAAATGTTACTATCAACTGTAGTTTTTCAATGATTTACTTTGTCCACATATAACCCTATTGTTAGTTTTAATCTAGTAAACTTTTATAATTTCACCTTCAGTTTTCAGAATGGTTTCCTAGGATGCTTTGTAATCTTTATAGAAATTTGAATTGCTTTAGAATAACAATAAAAAATAGCAGGTGTTTTTTTTAGTCAAGCTTTCCTAGACTTGTATCTACTTCTGCTGCTTTCTAGCTGAATGACCTTGAATAATTACAGAACTTCTCTGAGCCTGTCTTCCTGTCTACCAAGGATGGATCATGTAGTGATTAAATTGGAAATGTGCCCCATAACTACCTTTTCAAAAGATATGAACCAAAAACTAATTCTTTTCTGTTCCCTCTTTTTCCTAATTATGCCAATAAATTAGGGTGCTCAATAAATACCTCTTAAATGTATACAAGATTACTCAGTGTGGTATGGATAGTACAGCAGACTAAAAGTATAGAATTTCTATTTGCCAAAAATTGATTCTGCTTTTCAGCATTAAAATGTGACTGCTTTGAATATTAAAAAATTCATTACGTTCATTAATATTCACTCAGTAGTGTGTTTTGCCTTTGAATGTTTCAGAAAAACTGGTTTCAGTAGTTTACACAATTATAATTATGACCAAATTAGTCAGTTGTTGATTGAAACTCAGGATTTAACATAAAGGAAAAATTTGGTTTGTGTTTTATTTTACAATATAGTACAGTCTGAACTAAGGTGAAGGGAATGAGCTGACTAAATGTTAAATAGACAAGACCAATAGCAAGGTCAAGTCACACAGGGATCCAAGGCAATAGGAAGAAATCAGATCAGAAATTCTGATCCTGTCTTTACTTAAATTTTTGATATTTTGTTCATCATAAAATTTGCATACTGTTCTAACTTTTTAAAATATTGAATTAAAATATCTCCCTGAGAATTTATTGGTTGCCTTCTTAAGTTTTGTACCCAATGGATTCCTCACTTGCTTCACCCTGGCCCTAGCTTTTGGTATATAGTTATCCTTCAAAGTGACAAGAGAATGACTCGAGTTTACAGTCTGGATCCAAATCCTTAGTTAGACATTTATTGACTGTGTGACCTCTGTCAAGTTACTTAACCTCTCTCCTTCCTTTAGGGATAAGAACAGTATACTGGGGGGAGGGGGGGGTGTCATTGTGAAGATTAATTAGTTAATGCTTAGAATTAACTTGAAGATCACATTCCTTTGTTCTCAAGTCACCATAGAATACTTAGGTTTGACTATTAAGGGGGAAGAAAAAACAGTTTTTTGAGCCTTCCCAGTTGTATTTATTATGGGATGGGGTTCTTCACTCACATCTGAGTGCCTACCTAAATTCTTACTTTTTCAGAAGATTACATGTAGTCCTTTGGATATGCTGAATAGTTGAATAGTGTCAGTTTTGCCATCAGCTAAAGTGAAATGTTTAACTCTTCATTATAGTAAATAATTAAAAAATAAATCTTTGTTTAGGAAAGAACATTAATATTTACAATTTTTACTTTATGTATGTTAGTAAGTTCAGATTGAAAGAAAAAGTGTCTCCTGAACAAAAAACTTTTAAAAATTGTCTTTTGACTACCATTCCAACATATAAATTAGATTAGAACTGCTGATTTTCACTACTTCTCCCAAAAGTCGTTATGGTTGTCCAATACAAATACATCCAAACACCTTTGGGACTCCCCAAACTTAAATACAGAAACTTGTTCAGATTTAGCACTCTTTTAAATAATATTTCCTTTAAAAATTGTGTCCCTGTGTACCACACAAGTTAAATGCCTTCATTCCATTAAAATTCTATCATTTAAAGACCATTTTTCAGAAGGAAACCTAATTCCACATTGAAGAATCTTTTGGTTGTGGGTAAATTTCCAAAACTATGACTATTAAATCTCAGTATTTTCTTCAATATACCTTTCTCAGTACTGCAATTTGTGAGTTGAATTTTGGTACTGTAACAAAATGAACAACAAAGAAAATAATGATGCTATGAATACCTTGAGCTGAGTCTTTTTATGATAACTGCCTGTTTGTGGAAGTTCTGCATCTCCTGGTAGAAGCTTTCTTTGGGAAGAGGAAGCCTCTAGAATAGAACACTGGAGTATTGCAGAACAATATATTTTGTCACAGCACAGGTTTCTCCTGTTATTCAAAACTAAAATGCTCCTATTTGGTATGATTGGGCAGATCATTTCCTGGATCTGAGAATGCTCAAAATTTTTTCCATATAAATTAACATAATAACATTTGCAGTATAATACATTGAATCAAATAGGAACCATCTTAATCAAATAGTAACCGTCTACATTTTGGGTAGTTAGGGGAACTTCTATCATTAAGGGTGATTGTGAGAAGAGCACCTTTCTTTCCTAAACCTGTGTATCCCTGCTGTGGAAAAAATAGCACCATGTATTATTGAAATATAACCTATAAAATGGCACCCTAGGCCCATAGGTGAAGATGTCTTCAGTGGTCAGTTCACATAGGCCAGCTGTACTGTTGCCTTCTTTTTTCTCAGATGAGATTTAGTTAAAAATGATGTTATGTGAGATACTGACAGGAATGAAGCATTCTGTAAATCCAGAGATAAGGTTTTAGTATTTTCCTCTCTTTTCACTTGTTTAGATGTGATGGTTATTGTTTTTGTCTTACAGTTGCTTAAATCAGGACCTAAAGAAAAGTGTTTTCCACATATTGAACTGCTTGACCTTAAACCTGTAGGCTCTCTGCTCTAACAGGTCACTGGTGGTGTATCTATAACTATTTCGCTCTCTGCAGTTTTGTGATAAAGGAAGGAGAGCATTGGTTCTATAGCCTTTCGCAGTCTATATTTTGTTTTCCTCTCCCCATGTTTCCTGAATATTGACACATACAGACATTTGATCAGATTTAGTTTAGATTTTTTTCCCCTTTTCTTTCATTAACTAGAGTTCAATAGGTGATATTCTGTGTAGTTTTCAGGTACGTGAATCTGATTGTTTCTCTTTTTGTAATATTAATAGATATGTGATAATTACCTCAATCTACAAATTTATTAAGGGATTTTTAGAAAGTACCTCAATCTACAAATTTATTAAGGGATTTTTAGAAAGTAATCACATTCCTTCATTCTTTTTTAAGCCAGAAACTTCTCTAAGGAAAAAAAAATCCCTTCATCTGTTTTTCTTTTCTTTTCTTTTGGTCCAGCGGTATAATACACAATAGAACAGGCAATATAAATGTTTGATTCTTTCCCTTTAATTACCTTTCAACTAGCTTTCAAAATGAGTTGGTTCCCTAATAGCCATTGAAGATGACCAGCAAAATTTGTTTTCACTATGAAGTCAAGAAGTAAAACATATTTGTATTTGGTTAATTTAATCATTATCCTCAGTGATTCTTAAATTGTTCTATCTTTGGCCAGGGACACCCTCTTCAGAGTATCTATTAGGGGCCTAGGTTTTTGATAGCACCATAGGTTCTATTGTAACAGCTTGCTTCAGATTCATCTTGTGTACTTTCTGATCTGGACCTGGAACACTATGAGAAAAATAGCACCTATGGTAGAACAGCACCATATTAGACTCTTTCAGTAGGAAATAATAGCTATCATATTGGGGTGGGAGGGGCAGTAATATATGATTTAAGAAATCAGTTGGCAGCTTGGTACACCAGTGCAAGCCTCCCACCCCATGACAAGTTTTCTGACCCTACCCTCTCCCCTGGGTTACCCTCTCTACTGAAGGGAAAAAGCATTGTCACAAAATGATCAAGTGAGTAGATTTGCTTAAAGGTGAAAGATCAGTTAGAAATTTAGAGTTGACATTTCTTTCCTTCCAATTCTGTAAAGTCAGAGGGTTTTGAGAGAAGATGGAAAAAAATGCACAAAAATACCTTTGAAACACAACAGTGATGCTATTAGCTTTTTTCTTAAATATTGATAATTGAAAAGGGTGCCTTTGAGTGAAACAATCTGCCTTGGTGTGGTATCTGACAATTTATTATTTAGGTAGTACTTCTTCCCAAAATGATTACCTGAATCACAAGGATATAGACATATCCAAAGGAAGGGACATTTTCTAGTAAAAGTTGTATTCTTCAAAAATGTGTTTTTTTATGAAAAACAAAGGGTGAACTGTTTCAAATGAAAAGATATGAAACTGACATAGCAAGCAAATAAACACAAGGTATGATCCTAGAGTTGGGAGAAAGTTACTTTCATAGATAACACTAGGGCAGCTAGCAAATATGGCCCATTTATTGAATAATAGTTAAGCAATATTGAATTTTCTGGTTTTAAAATATGAATTGTGGTTATTTGAGTATGTGCTTATTGTTTATTTAAGTGTTTATTATTTGTTAATATTTATTGTGAAAGGTATGTTTGAATCTTACTCTCAAATGGTCCAGGAAAAATAAGAATGTGTATGTGTGTTTATCTTTCTTTTTAACATATATACACAGAGAAACCCATGCAGTTAAATGTTAACAGTTGGTGCATCTAGGTAAAAGATAATGGAATTTCACTGCATTATTTTTGCAACTTCCTGTATATCTGTACATTTTTTAACAAATAAGATCAAAGAATTTGTTTTTGTTAATTATCTTTTTCTGTAACTTGGTTTAATTTTTAAAATTTTTTTGTTATATGGTAATTTATTTTAATAAGATGTTTAATTTTATAAATTTGTTGTTTACTAGCTGTCTTATATTTTTACATTTTTAATTTGAAATGGTTTCTGTTTCTTCTTAGATTAGTTTATGAATTCCGAACTCATAAAAAGTAAATATTACCATTATAGAAATACCAAAACACAAGTAGTATTCCACTTTTATGTTTCAGTCACTAATGGCACTGGGAATCTTTAACTCTTGATATAGACAAATTCCACTTATAGGAATTGCTAAGAAAGCAAAAATCAAAAAGATCTGGTTTGTAAGCCTATGGTTAATTGTTAAAAAATTACTTTTCTACGTCAGGTTCCTTAATCCCCATTCCTCTACCAACCACTTCACAAAAGTTTGAACAACTAAAAAATTAAGCAAAACTATTTGTCTTTATAGAGATTTTTTCATTGCTAAGGTTTTAGACATATGCAGAAATTAAAATCTCCCATGGTGAGTGGTTTCTTTGAAAAGCCACCGTCAGATGTGGTAGTGCCAGAGACTAGAGCCCTGAGAACTGTACCTCTCTGGTATCCCTGTAATAGATCGCCACCATGCAAGGGGTAAAGGACTATATCTTTGGTTCCTTATATGTATGTTCATGTTAGCATCTGCTATACTGGATGGCACTTTTTATAAAAAAACTTTTAGAATTCTGAGCATTTTAATAACATACATGTTTTCAGAATAAATGAGTGTCGCCTAGCTATTTCTTTATACTTAAACGATAGCAAACTGCCCTTTTGCAGGGTTGGTTGATAACTGAGTTTATGTTGTTAATGCCATCAGCAAGCTGATGTTTGTATTTTTAAAAATATGTAGTGTTGCCAACAATGAGCTGCAGTTAATTTTTTCAATATAACTCTTCACAATCAAATTATAAGATGTATTGTTTGTAACAATAAAAAACTGAAAATATGTTAATGAGGAAATGACTAGATCACTTAGCTTATGCAGTTAAGAGAAATAAATCAGAAGAAAATTTTTGCGCACAATACTAATGACAAAGGACATCACAAAGATATACAAAGATTGATGAAAACTCAACAAAAATAAAGTGAACAACACCATCAGAAAATGGGCAGAAGTGCTAAAAAGGCACTTCTTCAAAGTGGAAATGCTGATGGTCAACAGGCATATGAGAAAATGTTCAGCATTACTTGTAATAAGGGAGATGCAAATCAAAACCACAATGAGATACCACCTCACACCAGTGAGAATGGCACATATTAAAACAGCTAGCAACAATAAATGTTGATGAGGATGTGGAGAAAAAGGAACTCTTCTACATTGCTGGTGGGAATGAAAACTGGTACAACCACTATGGAATGCTGTGTGGAGGTTTCTCAGACTGCTAAAAATGGAGCTTCCTATTACCCAGCAATGCCACCTACCTAAAGGACACAACAACATTAATTCAAAAGGACACTTGCACCCCCATGTTTATTGCTGCTCTATTTCTAATACAGAAGATGTGGAATCAATCCAAATACCCCAAAATAGATGACTAGATCAAGAAGTTGTGGTACAGATACACCATGGAATATTGCTCAGCAATCAGAAAAGATAAAATGTATGCCTTTTGCAGCAACATGGATAGAGCTGGAACAGGTCATAGTGAAAAAAACCCAGAAAGAAAAAGAAAAATATTGGATGATTTCACTCATAGCAGGTTAATAATGGGTTCAGGGAGGGAAAAACAATTGTAATAAAGTAAAAATGAAAAACAACGAACAGCTATAAGCCAGAGATATTTTACAGGGGTGGGGAGGGGAATAGGATCAAAATTGAGGTGGGAAGAGCACACAGGACTATGGTGATAGCACATGGGTGAATTAGTTGTGGGAAATCCACAGGGATTACAACCGAGATGAAAAAATGCACAAAATGAAAAATGATGTAATTTTTTTTTTTTTTTTAAAGAAGAAATAGTTAAACAGACTCAGGTAGGCACATATTTTCCAGTTGGAGAGATTTCTCACATTATCTACAAATTTGCTGAGAAATACATACCTTATTTATGCTTTTAAAAAATTATATTTGTATTTTGTATATAAATATAAATCTCTCAAGATGTACTATAAAGAAACCTAACCTATATAATAAAACAGATTTGAGCAATGGGAGAATTCAGGGAAGGTGGACTTATATTTCTACTCTAACATATATATTTTTTATACCTCTGTATGTCTAGCATTTTTAAGCACCAAGAATATATTAGTGTATTTATTCTTAAACAAATTAATGTGGATTGCATATTACTATGCAAACATGACAAGGGAGTGGATATAATCTAATCATTGCAAATGGTATAATTGCTTTTAATAGCTAATATGCATCCAGGATGGTTACCTTTCCCTGCTGACAGAAACTGGTGAAGTTCGTGAGGATCTTAAGCTGCCAGAAGGTGAACTAGGCAAAGAAATAGAAGGAAAATACAATGCAGGTGAAGATGTACAGGTAAAGACCTCTGGAAAGATTGTATTTTTAGGTAATCTTATAAAAACTGTGGCCTAAACTAGTAAGCTTTTAATACTGTTGAAATGTTAAAAATAACCTCTTCAGGCAGTTTTTTTTTTTTCTGATTTCTTTTAGAGACCCATTACCAAAAAAAGCATAATATCCACTTTTTCCTACATCGACACTGTCAAATCCAAATTTGTTTTCAAGATCATCCTCTAAACTGTTCTTAAAGACAAACTTTGATATGGGAGCACTAAAGAACGAAGGAGATTTACTCTCTTTGATAAACTTCCAGAAGTATAATTTTTAATAAGCATGAAATATTTATAGTTCTTTGTTTTGTTTTGTTTTGATCTTAGAAGTTGTCTTATAAGCCATAATTTGAGATTCTACTTTAGAAAAATATTTAAAAAAAAGTAGATTAACTGCTCTTAGAATATCTCCACGTTCAGTATGTATAAATGTCTGCAAATATTTAGTATATGGTAAAATCAAGATATGTACATATAATACTGCCTTCTGAATAACTTTTGACCACACTTTCCTCTTTTAGGTATCTGTCATGTGTGCAATGAGTGAGGAATATGCTGTGGCCATAAAGCCCTGTAAATAAATGGGAACATCAGGTGTGAGCACACTGTTTAGGTCTGGATCAACTACAGATCTAAAGTTTGGTTCCGAGTTGTCACCAAAGCCATGGCCTTCATAAGCAACCTCATTTCTTTCTTTAATTGTTTTGGACTTGTGCTGAATTCATTTGCAGGCAATTGGTAATTTTTTTTTAAAAATCAAAATGTATGATTCATTTTTTAATTTTGTAGGTGTCTTTCTCATAACATTCCTATTGTTTTCTGTGAGTCCAAGCAACAGACAAGATAGCTTCAGCAGATGTGATTTGTTTGAGCAACTCATCCGTAAATTTTAATTAAATGATAAATAAACCAGGGTTTTAAATCAAACAATGTAGCATCTAATGGTAGTGAAGTACCACATTTAAGTTGAATTGTTCTGCATCAATTTCAAGCTTAAATCATAGAATAAGAAAATTATTGATTGGCATTTTCAGTTTCAACCTGGCAAGGACAAATCCATAAAAAAAAAAAGCTATCAAAAAGTGTCAGTTATCTTAGTAGCCATATGCAGCCACCTCTATTACCTCAATCATAGTTACTTGCCAAGTTATTGGCAGATTTAATATAATCTTATATATAGTTGTTTTAGTACCGCTTGTAGTTGACAGAGAGTCATTGAACTTTTAGGTGACAGTTGGAAAGGCAGGCTGTAAAGACAGAGCATAGAGGGTTAGTTAAAGCCATAGATTTTTAAGGCTTTGCAATTAGTATAAGAATAGTTTTTTTCTAGTTGTGTTTTTGTTTGCTTTTAATCTCAAGTCTGTGTGTGTGTGTGTGTGTGTATTTAAAGGTGTGACCTGCTTTATAAATACTATGCAGTACTTTTTATCAATTATGTTAAATATTAGTATTTATTGTAGTCATTCCTATCCTTATGTAGATTTTTTATATTAAAAGATTTGTCAGACAAAAACTGAAAATTCTTATTTTAAGTTGATTTGGAAGACTTGTTACATTTCTGTACATCTTTTCTAAAGTGAAATGAAAGTGAATTATGAAAGAAAAGTTAATTTGTGATTAACTTATGAAACATTTTTTTTCTGATGATCATATGACAGTTCAGTTACTGGTAGGCATTAAAACTGGTAGGAAAGAATTCATCAATAAATTATTTCAAAAGGTGTTTAAGGTAACTGCTATATTTTTATTTTGTATTTTAGGTCACGTATATCTTATTTCTAAAATTCTAGGCATTGTCACGCAATTCGTGAAAATCCTTCACTCAGTAACAATCACACTGGAGTGAAACTTGGAACAAATTCACTACTTCAGTAATACCTTCATTCTCTAATACAGATATGAAGTATCTCCCATCGTGACTTGATCGTTTTGTCTGTGATCCAGAGGAAAGCTTACAATGCTGGAACTGACTTAATCAGCTCCAGTATTGTATATATTAGATTAGGTCTAATCAGAGCTGAAAATAACATTAGGAACAGAAGATCTCTGTTTCAATTACTTAATTTGTACACTTTTATATTTTGTATTAGCCTTGACAAACCCATTAAAAAGCAGCAGATACTTCAAGAAAAATGTAAGAAGGAAATTCTGAAGCACAAGAAATATTGAGTTTTCAATCATCTTTAGTATAACATTTTACCTTTCATCTTTCTAAAGCACAATTAGGAATTAGGCTAAATTCCTTTCAATATTCCATCTAAGTAATCACTAAATATTACTCTAAATTTTTAGTACTTTGAAATAGATATCTTGCTTGCTACTGATTGACATTATAAGGAATTCTGGCAGGAGTTTGTGAAAGTCATCAATCTGCTGCTTGCTAGTCTTTCATAAAATCTCAGTTAACCATATTGGTGTTCTGGTTTAGTATTAATTCTGCATTTGCATGTTTTTGTTTTCCTAACTTGTGAAACTTTACAAAAGTATATTTTTAAGTGTGAGGTAAGCACATATAAAATATAATAATGCATCCCTGTCTTCATATCTTGAATGGCAAAAACTATTTATGCATAAATATTTCAAGTACTATCATGAAGTGTAAATACTCTCCTGACATATAAGTATAGATTTTAAAGATATCAGACTGTTTATTTTCACATAAATCAATTCATGTTTCTCTAGAACAAAATATTTCATTTAGTAAAGCTTTATAAATTATATTAAAAGGAAAGCAGGGAAACATTTTTTTAACATAGAACATTATGACTTCATTCTTTTCTGATATTAGAAATGTTAAATGTTGATTTCTTGTACTTTTTGTAGAAAATGTTAAATATCACAAATTACCATGCATAGAATAATAGACTGTCATGTTGTTAAATTATATAGTGATAAAACATTTTTGTCTGTAAGCATTTCACCAATTTTTATGCAATATTAACTGGTAGGATATTTCTTTCTAGAACATATTTTCTTTCTACTGTGAAAATTTTGTTCTATCTTATTAACTACAAAGCTGTATACCCTCTGAAACAGATCAATCATGGCTACTTTCGTTTTGCATTTGCATTATAAACACAACTATGATACTTCTCTTATGTTCCCCTCCAAGGGCTGTCAGTCACTTGAAAGTGTTGCTAATAAGCTCTTGAATCTGTTTCCATTAATGGTACAAAATTCTGTACCAATGCTTTATGACAATTACCAAAACTCTCCTGCAGCCAGAACATGTGATCTTTAGTAAAAGATGCTGCAATAAGATGTTTAGACTATAAAATAGGGGCCACAATACATTACAGCACAATGTGAATGTGCATATGCACACACAGCTTTGTATGTTCTTTTTACAAAGTCCTTCCAACTCTTAAAAAAGTACTGTAGTCTGGTAGTGCCTCAAATGTTGGTAACTTTTTTTTTAATTTACAACTTTTCCAGTTTGATTTTGTACTTTCAAGTTTCTCAATTAGACTTACTTCTAGTTGAGCTGTAATTTGAATGCATTGTTCTCAGGGCTGTTTGTGCTAAGATCTAAGGTTTCAT